GGGTTTAGGATCTATGGGGTTTAGGGTTTTGGGTTTAGGGTCTATAGGGTTTGGGGTCTTTGGGGCTTCAGGATCTATCCCTAAGGCTCTAAGGACTCATATTTTGAGGCTTCTGGGCCCAAAGACCACACTATATAAAATTTTGGGGCTATTTTGAGCCTTTAGGTGGGTGGTTGTCAAAATTATGGTCCCTTTTTGGGTCCTTATTATAATACGGCACCTATTATTTAGTTTACACCAAAAGGGACCCTAATTTTGACAACTACACAGGTATGGATCCAAATGGGGGCTTCTGCGGCCAAAAGGCTGTTTGTGACTTCTGGCTGGCAGATCTCGTATTCGTACTCGGCCGTGTCCCAGACGTTCCACACGGGTCCTCCCATACCAAATAACTTACCTATTCTTTAGGGGTTGAAGCCTACCTTAAGAACCCAAAACCTGCTTTTTTGTAGGGTCCCTATAAATCCCATATTAGGATTTATAATAAGAACCTACAAAAAAGTGGGTTTTGGGTTCTTAAGGTAGGCCTCATGTGTCCTGTTAGGGTGGCTGGCGTAGAGTCTAGGTAGCCAACCAGAGGCTTCATATATACTACCATTATGGAATTAGGGCCCTAAAGCCAGAAGAAGTATGGTCTTCTGGGACGTAATTCCATAATGGCAGTCTTTTTGGAGCCTCTAGGTTAGGGTTTCATTAGGGTTTAGGGTCTAAGGGTCTAAGGGTTTAGGGTCTTTTTGGAGCCTCTGGCCAACATTTGGGAATGGGTTTGGGACTCCCGGTCTAAGTCCCGAACCCTAACACCGCGGCCGGGAAGCAAACAACTCAAAGCCATTTCGGGTAGCTGCGTATACCCCAATGCCCTATGCCGTACAGTTGCCGTAAACTCCTAAACCCTAAAGCCTACACTCCTAAAACCCTAAACCCTAAACCCCTAAACCCCTAAACCTTCGGACCCTTAGAGAACCTCCAAACCCCTAGACCTGTAGTAACCCGTACCCCAAACCCTCGGACCCGGAAAGACACCCTTACGGGAACACGCTTAGGGTTTAGGGTTTAGGGTTATTAGGGCTTAGGGTTCTAAACCCTTACGGGAACAGGCTTATAGAACCCTATATAGTACCGTTTAACGGAACCCGATTATCGAACTCTACAATACCTTTGGCAAAAATCCGAGTAAAGAAGAACCCTAAAGCCTGAACCCTAAACCCTAAACCCTAAGAGTACCATTCAAGGGAACCCATGGAACCCTATAGTATCCTTGAGAGGAACCCTGCTAAAAATCCCTACAGCACCTTTTAAAGGCTTGAAGGGAACCCGGTTATAAATCCCTGCAGTACCCCTTAAAGGAACCCGGTTATAGAACCCACTAGAACCCTTGACAGGTAACTCAGGTAACCCTGTTCTACAACCCAATCGTATCCCTTATAGGAACCCTGTTATAGAACCCTAGTGAATTTTGAAGGGAACCCTATAATACCGTTTTCGGGAACCCCATTGCAGAACCTGACAGTACCCTTTCGGGGAACCCTCAATCAAACCCTAAACCCTGGAACCCTATAGATCCCTCAAAGGAAACCCTAAACCCCAAACCC